AGAAAATACACAAAAAAACACAAAAAAAGCAAAGGTCGCAATTGAAAGACTTGGTAAAGAAAATATAATTTGTCCAGAAAAATTAAATTTTTTAAATATTAAAGTATTTATCTTGGGATTTTGCTCAACAGGTTCAACTACCTTCTTCATCACAATAAGAAGTAAATTTTTTATATTTTTTTATTTTTTTAAGTTATATTTATATTTTCTTTATTAAATTTTATTAAAATATTAATTTAAATTAATGTTATTAGGGTGATACATTTTTTAAATCTCTTTATAAAGTTCATGTTTTTAAAATATGCGATGATGCATTTCCTCATTAAGTAGGTTATATTAAATTAATTTATTACTTATTAATATAAATTTATCTTTAATTTATATAATTATTTTTTGATTATTTTTAGGTAAATTATCTTAATAAGGAATGTAAAATGCCTGAAAAAGAAGCAGATATAGTTATCTCCTTAGTTCATAATTATTTTTTTTTATATGAATTAGGAAAAAAACATTTAGTCATTCATGCTGATAATTATTCTGGTCAAAACAAAAATAATTTAATGGTAGCATATTTAGCATGATATGTAATAATAGAATATGATAATAGAATTATATATTCATTCATAATCACTAGGCATATCAAATTTAGTTTAGATTCTTTTTATGGATTATTTAAATTAGCTCTTATTAAATCAGAGGTTAATGTTATAGATGATTTAGTTAAAGTAGTCAAAATTTCTACAACATATGGATATAATATTACACAAACTATTTTTGATAAAAATAGAAATCAGGTTGTAAATTTTTATAATTGGAGTGAATGATTAAAAGATTATTTCAAAATAGTTCTAAATATTTTAAAATAGCATCACTTTATTTTTGATAATAAATACAAAGTTAAAGTAGAAATTAGTAGTTCTATTAATGGTGAAAAAAAATTTAATTGAAATTTCAAGAAAAGAATCAAAACATAATGTTAAATCAAGTTTAGCAATTACTTTACTTTCTTATTTAAATGCAGCTAAATAATGATATCTTTTTGAAGAAGTACAAAAGTATATTCAAACTAAAGAAAAGCAAGATTATCTATATCCTAAATCAAAAATTTCAAAACCATTAAATATTACAAAAAATTAAAGTAATTTGTAATCTAATCTAATAATAAAAATAGTTTACCTACAATAATAAATAATACAATATATTTTGAAAAAAATTATGATCTGTATAATTAAAATAATTTATTTGAATAAATAATATTTATATTTTTTATGCTTATTAATATACAAAAATAATTTTTTAAATTTTTATTTAAAAGCATTATATATTATTAATATTATTATATAATCAATACATAATATTTTAAAATTAAATTAAAAAATTAAATTTTGAATTTATTCTTTATAAAAAAATATTTTAAAATAATCAAACAGTTGTTAAATATTAAATTTCGAGTTATATAAAAATGCTAATAATAGATTATCCTTTGTTATTATTACACTAAACTTCAATTCTAATTATCTCAAAATTAAAAAAAAAGCTATTAATCATATTTCTATTGATGAAGTCCTATATTATTTTATTTATAAATTTGTAATAATTACAATTGATAATATAAATTTATACATTTTTTATAGATGACTTAAATATTTAAAACAGAAAATCATACAGTAAAATTTTTAAATTTGAAATTTACAGTATTTTATAAAATTATATATATTGAATTCATATGATCTTTTTTATTTTGAACATGAAAAAATTTAATATTTTTAAAAAATGATAAATTAAATTAATCATTTTTTTTACAAAAATTTAAAATCTGACGTATATTAAAAAATATCTTTTTTTTTATTTATTTATTAATTGAAAAAAAATGTAATGTGTTTTCTAATGATAAAATTATTGAAATTCAGAATTTTATTAAAACTATGTTAAGAAATATTCTATTTTTGTTTATATTATCTACTTTTTATTATAAAAGAATATAAGTTAGTTATTATATTTTTTTATTTATTTAAGGAAATATAAGTTAGTTATTATATATTTTTATTTATTTAAGGATTATTTAATGTTTTAATAAAAAGTTATTGAAACCCTTTCTAACTTTATATTAGTTACAAATTTATAAGTATAGCTAGTTTTGTAAGTATAAAGATATAAATAATTATATTACATATATCTTTTATAATACAATTAATTCTCAAAATATTTTGAACTATTTAAATCAGATATAGGATTATAAAATTTTATAGAAATTTCATATAATTGTAATTTTAATATATTGGATTATTAAAAAAAACTATACTTTACAATTAGAGTCTCAATTTAACTGATAGGTTAATTAATCAAATTGTACAGAAAATTGTTCAATTAGAATAATAATGAATTGTTTAAGATGTTCAGATCAGATCAAATGATCAGTTCAAGCTTTTTATTTGAACTGATGAATTTAAATAACTCATTAAAAATAATTTTCTTTAAATATTATTTTAATTTTTATTAATAGAAATGAAAGATAAATAAGTTATTTAATGCTTTATTTATTTTATAATAATGTATTAGAAAATTATTTGTAAACAATTACATAATTTATAAATAAAACTAGATTTTTTTGTAAAATTATTAATGTTAAGATTTATTTATTCTTTTATATATATTTAATTTTATTTATGACAATTTTCTTTACATTGAGGGCTACAATTTTTATTCTGAATACTTTTTTTTAAAATTTTTTAAGAATGAAAAGAAAGCTTTATTCTTAAAGAAAATAATTTTCACATTGCAAAGATTTAATTAAGAACTTTGATGTTGATGCTTAGTATACAATAAATCAATATATTTTCAGAGTTTTAAAACATGTGGAAGCTTATAATATCTTTACTCTTCAAAAGAAATTTGAACTTCAAAAAGCTTTGAAAAGTTTAAAAATTTAGGTAATAGTACAGGAGATATTCAATTTAGCAAGATAGTTATTGCGGTGTTTAGTTTTTAAAAATCGAGGTTGGACACTCATTAAGGAATCGGGTAAATTTGGTAAGCTAGTTATATTAGTAACAAAGCAATTAAGTTTCCTTAAGGAGTTGGGTAAAGTTGGCAGGAAAGTTATTGAAGTATTAGAGCAATCAAGTTCCGTTAAGGAGTTTGGTAATGTTGGTAGGATAGTTATTGGAGTAATATAGCAATAAAGTATCGTTAAGGAGTTGGGTAATGTTGGTAGGATTGTTATTGGTGTATCATAACAATAAAGTTTCGTTAAGGAGTTGGGTAAAGTTGGTAAGCTATTAATTTTAGTCATACAACATCTGAGTACCATTAAGAAGTTTGGTAAAGTTGGTAGGATAGTTATTGGAGTATTATTACAATAGAGTTTAGTTAAGGAATTTGGTAATGTTGGTAAGCTATTTATTTTAGTATTATTACATTTTAGTATTGTTAAGGAGTTGGGTAATGTTGGTAAGCCATTTATTTTAGTTTTATAACACCAGAGTGTTGTTAAGGAGTTGGGTAATGTTGGTAGAATAGTTATTGGAGTATCAGAGCAATAAAGTTCCGTTAGGGAGTTGGGCAATGTTGGTAGGCTAGCTATTTCAGTTTTATAACACCAGAGAGTCGTTAAGGAGTTGGGTAATGTTGGTAGGATAGTTAATTTAGTATAAGAGCAATCAAGAACTGTTAAGGAATTGGGTAAAGTTGGTAGGATAGTTAATGAAGTATCATGAAAGTTAAGTTCCGTTAAAGTGTTGGGTAAGGTTGGTAGGATAGTAATTTTAGTATAATCATTATAGCAAAATAGTTTAGTTAATTTGCGATATCTTTGTAATCCTCCCAAGGTGTTTAATATGTCATCCTTATTATATTCTGTAATCCTTAAACTTTCAATAGTATCATCATAAATAATATATGATACTTCAATATTTGATTCTAATTTTTCTATATTCTCCTGACCAGTCAAATGATGAATAATTTCAGAATCATTTGATGCATAATTATTCATTTGACTAATTACTCCAGATTTTTGATTTTTTTGATTCCAATTTATAATTTGACTTGAGGAATTATTTAAAGGATCTATTGAATCCGATAGAACAGGATTTTGATCCTGTAAAACTTCCATCTCAATTTTTTTTGAAGAAATAATCGTTTTAAGAGTTGAAACAACATCCTGTATACTTGGACGTTCATCCGGTTCATATTTCCAACATTCTAATAAATAAAATGAGATTAGAAATCCCTAAAAAAAAAAAACACAAATATTAAAATTATAAACATACTTACGTTCATATAGATTACTATATTCCATAGGAGTTCCACTAATGATTGTTTCTCTTTCTCCATTTATTATTCTCAAGTTTAATATTCTCGCATCATTATCAGTATCTTCATCATAAAATGGTCTTTTTCCACTTGAAATAAGCCACATCAAAACTCCGAAACTATAGACATCGGACTTATCATTTAATTTGTATTTCTTATTTTCTCGATAATTTAAACTTTTTGGATCCATATAGGGCAATACTCCCATTAACTTTGACTCGTTACTTGACGTTGTGTCGGTGATTTTTCTTGATAAACCAAAATCCGCCAATTTAATTGATCTTTGATGTACGAGTATATTACTTGCATGCTAATTTATATCAAATATTAGTTAATAAAAGAACTATATACAGTAAATAAGATATTACAAAAGTTGATTATTTACCAAATCAAGATGGACAATATCACGATAATGCATAAATTCTATAGCACTCGCCAGTTGCAAAGCTAGCTGAAATTTGTCACACCAATCAAGTTCTTTGAAATGCTCTTTTAAATATGTGTATAAAGTGCCACTATCGGCATATTCCAAGACTAAAGAGTATCTTTTCATTTTATTTGCTGTATTAAATTAAGAGTATTAGTAAAATAATTAAGAATTTTTACATGATATTTCTAAAAACGTACCGGTTTCTTCGCTTGTGATTCCAAAAATTCGTATAATATTTGAATGAAAATCGACTTCTTTATGTAATTTTATCTATATGGCATTTAGAACAAATTTACCTGATTAATAAATCTTATTTAAATATTTATAACATATAATTGTACCTCTTTTACAATATTCTTCAAAGTCGTTTTATTATTATTAAAAGATTTCAATGCAACATCGCAGCCCTGATTTTTCCAATAAGCGTGCA